GGTGGAGTGCGTAGCCAGCGAGGTCGGGGGAGGGACGAGCGGTGGGGGTGGCTCTGCGATCAATGGGCGGCGGGCACAGCGCGGGCGGGCGGGCGGACTGGCGCGCGCAGCAGGCGGCAAAGGAGGACTCCGCGGAGGAGGACAAGGAGGCCGGGGCGCACAGCACAGCGCCAGCACAGCGCACAGCACAGCGCGGTGCGAGGCGTCGACTTGAACACGCGGCCAGGACGAGCAGGACGATGCAGGGTCCCTTTCATACGAACAGTGCGCGCCCCCATAGAAAATGGTATAGCCTCGAAACAAGGCGAAATACGTTGCTTCAACGCTGTTTTTACCACGAGAAATACAAGGAAAATTTGTCTTTAACTTGAGGAAAATGCCGTTAAAATAGAGTAAAAGTTGCCTTAGATTAACTTAATTTTCTTGAAAACAACGTAAACAAGGTAAAAAAAAATGTCCTTGTATTTTTAAAAAGAATTCTCCTTGAGTTGGTTTCAGGATACTATTTTCGGGGTGCAGACAGTTGTTTTAATAAGGATCTGTACGTAGGTGGCTGCAAGCTCGCAAAGAGCTGTCAAGCATTTGCATTGCGAACTATAATTTCAATTCGCAAAGCTCGCAAAGCTTTATTGTTTTATATTTCTTGTGCAATGCAAATCCGAGTGGCAAGGTGATTCCCAAAAACACACGAGTAAGGCATTCACTTTGCAAATACAAAGAACGGTGCAAACGAGCAGTCCTTGGATTCCAAGGAGAATTGGAACCCCTCGGTTCCTGGAAAGTAGCAATTATTCCCAGGGGAGCTACTGGTAAACCCAGTACATCACCTCGGAAAAGTGCACGTTTCCAAGGTATCCACTGGGACTCTTGCAGCTCTCCTGGAAAATGAGGAAAACTCCTGGGAATGTCAGGGCTTGTGTTGACCGTGCAAAGACCGATACAGTTTTCAATAAGATTTTTTTACAGTAAGGTAATGCTTGGAAGCGCGAGTATGAATTTATGCCACTCTGCCCGACCCTTCCTCCCCTCGCTACAGAACACATTGAGTGCAGCTCTATGATTGAACAACTTAATGTGCCTGTGACACGCATACACGAGGTCCCTAGCCGTAAGCTCGAACACTCTCTTACACTCTACAAACAGAAGTGCTGGACGGACAAGTATTACACTGTATTACGCGGTATAATGCCGGCATTAGATGAACAAATTCATCATTTAATAGCCTATTTTGATACTTTTTGGTAGTACATCATCCGTAATACCGTGTAATACCCAGGTTGGATAGGGCATTACGCACACGTTAAAAGCAATGTCAACGCGGGAAAATTTTGAGAACTTCCATTTTTGAGGAAAACTCCTCAGATCTCGCCTCAGATTTTAAAGAAATTATCTCAAAAAATGAGAGAAAAATCCACCTTTTTTGAAGAGACTTCGTCGAAATCAGAGATTTCCTCAAACCAAAAAGCTCCCCTAAAAAAAATCAGACATTGTTTTCACCGTGCAAGGTGAACCCCGCCTCGGGAATGCCACACACTGTGTGTGTACCGGCCCTGTTTGCGCCACCCCTCCCCGCACGCACTCGGTGCTGATTTTCACTCCCTCTCGAGGACGCTCGCGGCCCATAGCGTCCTCTCGCAAACACCGGGTGGCAGTCCCCGACTGACCGCTCGGCACGCCGCTCGGCACCCAGGCCCGGGGACCATCGGGGCGAATGCAATTACACTGACCTAATAAGGGAAGTCCTCGTCCGCCGCCTCCTTCCTCCCCTCCTCTCCCCTCCCCTCCCCCGGGCCACCGCAGGCCGCACAACAGCAGCCCCACCCACCGTCGTCACGACCTCGCCCACCACCACCCGCACTCCTCTCCTCCGCGACGCCCTTCCCGCCGACTTTTAACGGGGTTGTTGTTCTCGTATTTCTACGCGCGCCTGCCGCGCACAGCGATCGTCAGCCCCCGAGGAGCGGGAGCGGGCGGAGCGGACGTTGAGTGGACGGGTGACGCTCTCGCGTGCACCGCGCAGCGGCGGCATTTACCGACGACCGAGCCGCGTCAGCGGTGAATAACTTACACCACAATCACAATCAATAAACCCCTTCTCTTGGGTTCATTATGGCACCTCCTTCGGCGACAATATGGCTTCCCTTGTTGAGAGACACACCTCCACTGTGTGTACTGCTGGTAAAATTTTTAGTTCTTGGTGCTCCACGGTGAAATTAACGTAACGTAAATCAACGTAAATTAACAAACGTGTCTTGTAGTTCCTATTTACAAAATATGTTGGAAACTTGTGACAGCCCATTGCTGCTTGTCGATCGATTATAAGGCGATGCATTGGGCTTGTAGAAGAACAATGTCGTATTGTAATTTTACAACACACCATAAAAAAATTCCAGTGAATCTATACGTCTATTTTTTACTGTGTCTGTTGTACTTCTTTCGAACAGTCAAATAGTCCACAGCTTTCCAAGTCAAACTGTATAACACGATGACGTAGCGCCAATAAAACCGAGGGGGCAATAACTCCCTTTTGAAGTGTACACATGATTCCCGAAATTCTTGTTTCCCGGTGATTCCCGTCCGCTTATAATTATTACATAGGTTTTTCGGGGGGGTTTAGTGGTATAAAACGCTTATTTCGACTGATTTGTACTTATTTCTCTATTGATTTTGATCAATTTTTATCCTGATGATTCCCAGACAGGTGTACACATGATTCCCGGAGTTATTGCCCCCTCGAATAAAACTAAAGTCTTACAGCTTAAACTGCACAGCAAAAGATAATTTACACAGTGCACATCCTATACACAACTACTGTATGGCTTTAGTTTACCGGTTGAATCTAAATAACTGTCGTGCAACCCCTTCTTGGAGAAAATGCACTTATTTCAAGAAAATTCACTTGATTCAAGGGAGGGTGCCCGTTCGTGTGCATTTGCAATAAAGAATGTCAGCCGTGCTTGATGCTGCATGAGCACTCACCTGCTTGAAGCCCCGGTACATGACCCGGATCTCCTGCCGCGAGAACTTGGTCTGCCGGCAGAGGTCCTCGAGGGCGACGGGCCGGTGCTTCACCACGCGGCTGGGCTCGATCTCGAACACGCCCTCCTCCACGGGGCTGTCCGGCGGCGTGGCCATGGCGGCGGAGGGCCTCCCGGGCCTCCTCCCGGGCCTCCTCCCGGGGCTCCTCGGGGCTGCGGCCGCTCAGCGCGGGGCTAGCGCGGCTCAGCGCCGGGCCTCGGGCGGGCAGAGCCACGGCCGCCCCGAGCCGCCATGCCGCCCGCACTGAAAAAACAAAAAAACACCGTCAATTTAAGATATTTTTCATCATTTCTAATTCACAATTTTCACTGTAAAACCAACAATCGGACACCTTCGACTGAAAGGCACACAGTTCAGCCGCGCGCTCCGAAAGACATGCAGTTTATCGCTCTAGAGGAGCGGCGCGTGAGTTTTGAAAATGGCGCTGAACTGCGTGCCGTTCAGTCTATGGTGTCGCGGTCGACCTTCGAACACAAAGGAACAGGGTGGTGCCGGCTTTGGTCATCTGTTACAACAGCCTGGACTTGCACCCTGTCGGACACGGCTACGGATACCGGGCATGGCACTTGGAGCGGGAAATTAACATTCTCTCGCCGTTCAGGGGGCAGAAACTGGTACCTGACTTGCTGATGTAAGCAGGTTTTCGCCACAACAGCTGATAATTGGCTTTGGCTTTCATAGCTAGTTTTCCGCAAGCCAGAGGACAACGTGATTTGCTATCACGAACTCAGCTAATCTGTCGTTAACTCTGAAAACAATCTTATTTTACATACATGTAGCTCCATATTTAGGCCTCCAGGAGGTACCCTAGTTGTAAAAGAGAGAAAGTATCTCCACAGCAAACAGCAAACGCGAAGCTCAGGGTTGTTTCCGGAATAGTTCACGGTTCTTTAATTTTGATGGTTTGTGAGCCTGGCAGAGGTGGCAATGAAGTCATGAAGTTGGGCCATCCTCAGATTTGTTTTACTACCAGTTTGCAGTAAAAACTCTCTCAAATACGAGGCGGGAAAAGCCAACCGGGAAAAGTGCTTTCCCGAATCAACCGGAAAGTTCATTTACTCGTCGACCCGAACTTTTTCTTGAAGTGGAACGTGCTCCTGCAACACCAACACGTGGTGTAAACAGCTCCGCGATCTATATGACGTTGGGGAGCGTTGGCGGGGCGCTGCGAGACTAATAGCTAGCAGGGAGCTGGCGGGCGGCCTGGCGCGCTTGTCTGGAGGATTAGAAAGTGTGACTTGCTTACAGAAGTTCGCCGTCTCCTACCTATTTGAAAAAAAAAAAAATGTCTGTGAAGCGTTGACTGACGTGAGAGTCAAGCGAGTAGTGGAGCAAAAGTTTGAGCAAAAATAAAAAGAAAAGAAAAAAGAAGAAAAAGGGAAACACTTAAAAATCGTTATAGGGGGCAAGACAAGAAAAGTTAATTTTCAACTATCCATTCTGACCAATCCTTTCGTTTTAGTCGACACGAAACAGATCGCGATGGTCGACCCAAGGCAACACCAAACTTTCCCAATCGAACGAGTGTAACCGCACACAGTTTGTTTGCATAGGAAGGAGATGTTTTGCAGACTGTCTGGCGCGCGAGAGCTGGGGTAGGGGGAGGGGGGGGGGGGAGCTTCTCGCACGACACTAGCCGGCGTGTAGGAGGGCTACCGATCGCGTGAGTGCTCGGTTTGGGTTCCAAATAAAACAAGAGTCCTGGTTAGGTGTTGATGACTGACGACAAGTGCTGTCTATATATTTGCAGAGTTCTACTGCTGTGCATTCCTCCTCTTCCTTATCAGCGCCCTCCTGGCTGACGGGCGCGCTCACGTCAGCGGCGCCGCCCCTATTTCTATCGCGCTATTCTCTGAGGCGGGGACCGCCCCGCCCCACGTGACAACCAGCCTTGACATTTCAACCAACTGCAATGCTCTTACTACCCCCACCTCTACTGCCACTGTGAGCATACATAAACGTAAAAAATATATACATGATATATAGCCGCTTGAAATAAAAGGAGGAAAAACGTGGCACGGTGTTCAACACTGTAAAAAATTAAGAGTCTAATATGGAACGATGTACGGCGTTAGATACCGTATATATTTTTATTTTATTTATTTAAGGATTGAATAGGCCCCAGAAGCCAAGGCTCATTTAAAGGGACAGTATACAACATTATTTTTGTTTTATTATAGAGATGAACAGGGCAGGCTTACAGATAGTAATTTAGGTAACAATTTATTACTATTAATATTACTATTTTATTTTTGTAGTGCGGGTCGCTGTATTTTGATGATTCTCTCTTTTATCGCTTCCCTTGCTCCTCATGCAGAACAGAGAGAAACCACTGCACTGCACGGTTCGCACCGAGGCTCTTGTTCGCCGCTCCACCCCCTCCCTCTCCGCTTCTCCTTGCGAATCCCTATTCTACTGCTGTGGGGCCTCGCGCCCCCCAGCAGCGACTGCCAGACTGCCGTCAACAAGGGACAGAGGCCTAAGCAATTAACTGCAGTAAGGGAAGCTGGGGTCCCATGAGACACTTTTTGTTTTTCGGGCCTGTAGGCCACAATTGTTGGGATATTTGAACTTTTAAAGTCGGAATTGAAAGTATGGTTAATTGCCTGTCAAATGATACCCAAGTCATATTTTTAGTACAACTCTTTTTCATACAGGAGTAAATTTGAAAAAAACCTTGCAAAGTCCCATGGGACCCCGGGCCCGGGGTCCCATGAGACTCGCTCGGGGACCCATGAGACACTTGTAACTTTCATGGTAGAAGAGGTAAAGGGACAGGAAACAAATGTTCCTTAGTCAGTTAAATGCCTTAATAAAACAAAACAATCGTTTCAAAATATAATAGAACGGTTAACATTTACCAAAAAAAAATATTTGGCTAAATAAGAGGAAGATCAGTTATATTGGACTAATTACTCTGATACTTAGTGCGCAACTGCTTAAAACTTGCAACTGCAACTGA